TTTTTGGAGGACTAACTTCAGTATTGCATAAGAAGAAGCAAGTATGTTGATACAACAGTTAAGAATTTAGAAATAGGTCAATGGAAAAGTTATCTTAGTGACCCACAAAGGGGTTTCAACCTAACAGGAAGTCCCAAACCAATTGCTCTCACTTTCCTGAGAAGTAACACTAGACTATCAGTTAATGAATACATTTAACAATTTGACCAGCAGAGCAATGCCTGTCAGGAGCTGCTTCAGCAGATACAGAAACATGGGAAAGACAATCACATAGCTGAAGTCGAACACACACGGTACATTTTGCATGTACTGTTTGAGAACGATATCACACAAAAGTGTGATATCGTTCTCATAACAGTACATGCAAAATGTACCGTGTGTCACAGGATACAGGAGCGTACACAGGATCTGACAGCGACCCCTCCACACACTTCTCACCCCAGTGGTTGAGCTAACACCCTCTATGAAAGAGGGAAAATGTGTGTGTGCGTGTGTCTGTGTGTGCTGATCCTTATCAGATTAGTTTTCTTATAATAGCTAGATGGAACATTTCCTTTTTGTTTCAGCCAGAATATATCTGCTCTGTGACGGCACAGTGGGGTGCAGCAACATGGTGTTCCCAAATAAAAACAGACCAAAATATCCAACACATCTTATCAGATTTCTAATTCTTCCAGGCATTATTTTAACAACTATTTCTGTGACTAGTTGGAAAAAAGAGTCTCTGAGCATGGTTCAGGGAGGTAAATACTATAGCACTTTATAGCACATGCTTTGGCATTAAGTCACAGTCACATGTTGCTTTTTTCTCCGTGGATCAATGTGAGCTGCCTTAACTGTATAGATGTACAATGTCTTACGTCTCTTGCTACAGAACAGTGAAGAAGAAAGTAGAACTTGGAGTTGAAATTTCAAATATGCAGTTTTCTATTTGGTACCGTCTATTTTTACTCATTGCTATAACAAGGCAAAACGACTCCTCCTGTGTGTGGTTATAAACCCTAACTTTAACAGGGGGCAGGGACTTCCTGAGCGCTGCATATGGAAAGAACAATTAAGTTGATGACACGATAGCATGAGGCTGTGATTGATGAGGGCCACTGGCTTGGAGCCCTATAAAAACATACATTTTGTTATGCTATTTCTGACACACACACACGCACACACACACACACACACACACACACACACACACACACCACACACACACACACACCACACACACACACACACACACACACCACACACACACACACACACACACACACACACACACACACACACACACACACACACACACACACACACACACACACACACACACACACACACACACACACACACACACACACACCACACACACACACACACACACACACACACACACAGAGAGTACAGAGGGTGAGAAGTCACAGCGAAGTCACACTGAACAGAAAACACTCTCACAAACATACAGTAATCACACAATCCTGGATACGATGTTGATGGAGTTAACTGTAACTGTCAACACTTTAGATTAAAGTCTGACAGTCTTCTAATCTACCTGCCGGGAATTTTCCTGCAGTCTGAGAAAAAGTGTAGCTTCAATGGTAATGCCAGATTGTGCTTGTGTACAGCCTCTAATCCTCTTTATCTCACTGATTACATTTAATAAAACTGATCTGGAACACGCTGCTCTGGTATACCTCTTGCTTATGTTTGACAGACGCTGACTATCTCTCCTGGAGCTGTTTATACATCCTTTCACATTGCAACATATTCATGTTTGTTCAGTTGTGTTTTTAATAAAGGATTTGCAGCTGAACATTTACTATTTTTGTAGCATAAAGACGGACAGCTATTCAATACATCTACAATTTTCTGCCGGAAAGCTCTGCTCATGTGAAGTAAAAAAAACTGCATTAATTAGGTGTATGAGATTCTGATAAGTAGGGTTCACCATTAAAGGACCATCAAACTGATTCTCCTGAAGCGTTAATGCCTTGGTCATTTAAAAAAAAAAAAAAAAAGTTTCCACCTTGTAGGTAGAGACTTTCATAAAAAATACTAACTATATATTTTGAGAGATTTTACTAAGTTTTATTATTATTATTATTATTTGTTCAGAAATGTACAACTGTAACTGTGTCTTTGGTTGGGCTTTGTGTCCCTGTAACTTTAACACCATGGAATGTATCGTCTCTTTCTCACAGATAGTACACATTGTACAAGATTCCAAAGCTTATTGATTGAAAATAAAAAGAACAAACATATTCTCGAGGGGAAATAGCAACCAAGGACACTTGAAAAGCCACTAAGGCAGGTCCATTGGTTGAAGAATGGTTGAATCTGGAAACCATGCACGTGTAGTGAATGCATACAGGTGTATAGAGTGATTGACCTTGTGTGGCTTCATTATGTATGCTAGTTGTGCGATAGTGTGTGTGCACACACACACACCTGCTGCAGCCCTGTGCAGAGCTCTCTCCACAGATGAGCACCAGCTGCATCACAAACCCCCAAGCTATCTCCAGGCGAAGCCTAACAATGTTTTACCATATCAAATCCCCGGCCACCTCTCTGCATCTTTCCCCAAGCACAAACTGTCCAGTGTCTATGAAAAGTGGCCAAACACACAATTGCTCCTTGTTCCTGCTGCAGAAGAGGCCCCTACAGTGTTTTTATAGCCGTCAATCATGGGGAAAATAGTGTTGATGTTACTATAGATTCATACCACGATGATTTGTATGAGGGCATTTTATGAGCGGAAATGTTTCCTCAAGGAATCAATTGACCTTTCAAGTGTCATTTCTGTTGTCAAGGGAGCAAATCAATGCCACAATCTGGTTTCTTCATGAATCTGGATGGAGCAAATGCAATTAGGCCTTAGAGTCTACAGCATAGGATTTAATCAAACCGGTTTATTGCATTACAATGACTGATGTCTTTCAACAATATTCAAAGAGTGCTGATCAATCCTCGACAGTCTTGTCACATTGGAGGTGGAGGCTGGCAGGGTCGGGTCAGAGACATGAGGGATTTCAGCGAGAATTCGATGGACAGACTTGAAATCTGAAAACGAGTGAAGTCCGATGTCCTCCTGTGACCTAATCCCATTTCCCATTACTGTCTCCTGTAATCACAGGGAGCAACGGGAAATGATGAAAGGATAGTGGAGGGGTGATGGTGGGATGAAGGGATTTGGGGGGGAAAGAGATGGAGTCATAGCACGATGTGGCTGCGTGTGAAATGCAATGAACCCAGGAATGAGCCTCAGGGTGTTTCCCCCAGTCTCAAGTTATTTCACAGCAAATCATGTTGTCTTGCCTCACCTGGGAAAAGCACACATGACATGTTTGTGTTCATGTCTATTTCTCTCAACAACGCAAAGTCTGACAACAGTAATTACAAGGCAATTACTGTGGGTGTGTCTCCTATGTGAGAGAGTGGTTTTACGTTCATCCACGGATTTTTCCACAGATGGTTCTCCTTTCTGTCACTCTCATACAGATTGAGAATGTGGCGTGCTCGATTCATTGTGTTGTCAAAGCTGAATTTGAACATTGTTCACTCATTGTTACCATATGAGGCATGGATGGATTTCAACACTTGGGAAGGGGAGAACTATTTTTTTCAGAGGAGATTGGTTGCTGAGTGAAAATTAATTCTTTAGATTTACATTATGATTATTTCCAGTGCTGGTCAGTTGCATTGACATTTACAGAGCAGGATATAGTATGGTATCACTGGACGACACATTTATTCTAGTTGCTTTTCTTGAGATTTTACATGCATTATTTATTCATTTTGTATTTCACACCATGACACAAGGACTGAGCTTATATGGGAATTTTAGACTAGTCATGGAAAAATGAAGTCTTTGCTACGAAGTTGGACTTTAAAGAGAAAGATTAGTCAGCGTTCACTTGGGAAATGGCAGCTGCTGCTTGTGTAAGTGTGATACTTAATGCTCATAAAAAAATATGTCAAAACGAATATGTCTCGAATTTTTATTTGCTCATCTACACTGAATTTCGAGTGATACATACTACAGCTTCAGCAGTCTAGTACCTTCAAAGGATTGGCTGAAATTGAAATGCAGAACTGAGATATGTTTGACCTGAAGACCATTAACGGCAAGTTATTCATGTTTTCCAATTACAAAGAGGACAAATCTTACATCACATCAACAACAGATGTGTAGTAATGTAACGGGGAGAAAACCCAGCTCAAATTGTAATGCTACTTATGTGTACTATTTACTTTATATTTAATACTAAGCGTCAGACACACATTTACTAAAACACAATATAACCTCTTTTGCAGAGGTGAACTTTTTCTGTTCACCATGTTGTCTGGTATCTCAAGCTTCTCACGTTCTTTTTTGTCTCTTCTAAAATCTTATACTTGTCTTTCTCCTGCCAGCAATATGTGCAGCTCAAATCTTTTTGTTGTTGCTTTGTGTAGTGAAGTTATGGGCAACGGCAGATTTGAACAGGTAATAACACACCACACATGCTACACATGCTACACATGCTACACATGCTACATATGCTACGTATGCAAACTTATGCTGAATATTTCACTCACAGTCAACGCCTTGATATTTTTAGTGTGCAGCATATCCCAACAGTCACCTGCTTGTGCACATTTACATAGTTTGCGAGCAAGAAACACACCTTGTCCATTTCATTTCAAACTAAGTGGTTTTGTTTCAGGTCTGGGAAGTGTCCTTTAGTCGTCTAATAAGTTGATTTCCAAACTTAATCAGATGGAATGAGTCTGTTTTCAGCTCTCAAGCACGGCAATCTTCTTATTAGTTAATACATCCTCTCTTGGCACGCGTATACAATCCAATCTGCATCTTAATAAGAGTCAGTAGGTCTCCTTGTTTCACATTTTCTTAAACAAATAGAGCCACAGGAAGATTGGCAGAGCTTTTTCAGATAAATAGAGCATTTGTTTTTTTTCTGTTCTTCTGTTACAATTTTGAGCCAGAAGGCAGACAATGCTGACGGTACCTTGTATGGTGAGTTGGGCCTGGGCTTCAATGGTTGCGTTGGCATTGTCCGCCATGCAGGTGTAAATGCCGGCATCCTCCTCTGTGAGATTGAAGATCTGAATACTGCCTCCTCCCAGCAGCTCCACACGACCCTCACTGCGGACAGACACAAAAACAAAGATGTGAGAAAGAAAATCAGCCAAATGTGACTGTGAACAAAATGTTCCTCCTGATTCCTTTATACAAATAGCATGAAGGACCTTTGGGGCTGTGCCACTGTCAGCATCACATGCAGGGGACCTCAGGATTCAACATTTGTTTTTCTTAACCAGACTTGTGAATTATGTAAAAAGCCATTACATTTCCATGAAGCATATTCCCTCCCTGCTCATTTAGATCACTGAGAGAGAAAGGTTGCATTCTCTGGAGCTCCTTGTTAACCTACTGGCCTGAGGTTGACTCCACATCTGTCACACTTTACCAACTCCGGTTATGAATAAAAGATCCTAAAAGTTGAGTCAACAGCCCAGAAAAAGGCAATTTACAACCTTTCTTAACAATTATGATTCATGGACAGCTCAAGAATTATTTAATCTTGCGGCATAAATGACTACTTTTAAAGAATACAAGCACACAATCATACAGATCATACAGCTTTGCAGCCACACTACAGAGTTCTTACAACGCCTTAACAAATGTTTTCCTTCTCTTTCATCAGCTGTTGATTAACCGGGGTGACACTCATCTATAAAATAACAATACAGAGATCTAATATCGAGGGGATTCGACTTTTCAAACTGATGCGTATCCACAGCAATATTATCATACGTTTATTAAAAGTTCACAACCTCTAAATGTTGTGTTTTCCTTTCCTTCATACAAGCTTGAAATCTTCACTCTGTGTTGTCCCTCAGTGAAATCATTATGTAAATGCATCTTTTCGTCTCTAGAAGACATCTTACAAGCCACAGTGAAAGCCCACTGAAAACTGAATATCAAGTGTTTCACTGTAACAACAAATCCATGTTTCCATCAGGCATTTCAATTACTAAATATTTATTCTAAACTATTTACGCCTAATCCAAATATATAACCGCATATTTGTTTGTTTAGCCTCCTTTTGAACCAGTGACCCTCCTCCATCTTAAACAGTCCCAACTTTCATTTCCCCAATTGGCCCAGGGGGAGCAGTTTGTGGCCGAACTGAGGCTTAACTCAACAACCACTGAAGCCGGGGAGTAGGAGGGGGCTGAGAGGAAAGAAAAAACAAATAAATAGCCAACAGAAAGCTCTGCATTCAGAAAGAGACAAATAGAAAGGTGGAGCAAGACACTAATTCAAAAAGGGAAGGTAAGATGCAGCAAAGTAGAGGGAAGTTCAGTGTTTTCTGGGCAGAGCAAGATTACTGCACTCGAGTGCATTGAGGAAAACAACACTAAGCAGCAGGTTGAGTAAGTACTGATCAACCTGCTGGCTATCCATGTATTTCACATAAACTCCTGCATCTCTCTCTCTCTGACTGGTGCTGTGTTTGGCAGCATTGGCCTTTGAGACCATCTGCCTGTCTGTCTGTGCTGAGTGGAGCGTTGTAGTGGCCCTCGACCTACTGTCACAAAAATGGCATCTCTGTTTCACTCATATTGTGGAGATAAAATAGACTATTAACCTCCGCATGAACCGTAATCACATAACAGTATGCAGGGTTCTTACACCTTTCCAAAGTCAAATTCAAGCACTTTTCAAGCATTTTCAAGGTGCATTTTCCAGCTTTTCAAGCATCTTACAGCTGTTGTAAATTACATATTTATATACACATACTCAAATGATTATTTCCCTACCTCACATTAAATGAGATGTTCTTTATGCGATAAACAACCAAATGTGTGTTTCGTGATAGCCTTCTACACGAGGATGAAAAATTAAAGAAAAGAAAACTAAGTTTAACATTTCAAAATGAGTGATCTGTATGTAGACTGGGCCTCCCATATAACCTGTCTGAGCCAATATAAAACAATCAGCCAAATAACTTTTCAATACATTATTGATTACTATTTTTGAGGTACTTTTAGGTTGGAAGTGAACATAAGTCAGAGGTACATGGTGTACTTCTACTCCACTACAGTTCAGAGGTAAATGGTGTACTTTTCCTCCACTACATGTATTTAATACCTTTAGTTACTTCACAGATGTGGATGAATGATGTGAAATCTAATCAAGTGTTAAATCAGACTTTAGTTCCACCTGGAGTAAATCCACAAGCTACCCTGCAGTCTACAAAGCCATTCAAACTAGCTGCACCTTTACCAGCTTTGAGAACACTTTCATGATCAATCATTATAAAACATATCATATATATTATTCTGAAATGGACCAATCTGTACAATGAATACTTTTACTGTCTTTAACTATATCTTGATGAGAATACTTTTCTACTTTTACTTGAGGAACATTTTGAATGCAGGACTTTTACTGTGACAGAGTATTCCTACACTCTGGTACTTCTACTTTTACTCAAGTACAAGATCTGAGTACTTCTACTTTTACTCAAGTACAAGATCTGAGTACTTCAACTTTTACTCAAGTACAAGACCTGAGTACTTCTACTTTTACTCAAGTACAAGATCTGAGTACTTCAACTTTTACTCAAGTACAAGACCTGAGTACTTCTACTTTTACTCAAGTACAAGATCTGAGTACTTCTACTTTTACTCAAGTACAAGATCTGAGTACTTCAACTTTTACTCAAGTACAAGACCTGAGTACTTCTACTTTTACTCAAGTACAAGATCTGAGTACTTCTACTTTCACTACAAGATCTGAGTACTTGTACTTTTACTCAAGTACAATATCTGAGTACTTATTCCACCTCTGGTAGTGTATTAGTCTGAATTGTAGCCACAAAATCACGCAGAGCTGCATAGAAATAGACTCACAATGGTAACAAGTGGAAAATAATATGTACAAATGTGTACAATGATTTGTAGGTAATGCTGACTATTCAAGACACCTGACTTATACATCTTCAAAGGAAGACTGTGTTCATTCTACAATTACATGGGATTAAAGCAAAATGTAGTTTTACTTGTATAATACTTCAATTTTATATAAAAGACCGTTTGTTTTCATGTTTTCAAATAAACAAAGTATTGGCTTTCAGAATATTAAACTTGTTTCGGCAAATTCAGATGATAAATACAACTTTGAAGCTTCGGCATAATTACAAGCAGAGAACGGACTAATGTAACGTCACAGCAAGCAACAGCCGGTGTTTCTTGTGAGTGTTTCCCCGGTACACAAACGCAAAAATACACAAACACACTCGCGAGCTTCCCCCAGACCAGTAATACAAACGAAAATGTGTCTTCGGGTCAATGTGACTGATTTCGATAGAGCAAGTCACATTTGGTTTAGGCACGAAACATACTACCAGTAGAAATACATTGCTTTCAAAATCGCTCTGTGTCGAATCAATAGATTATATTTCGTGACTATAACACGAAATGCCGTGAGTGCTGCATCCTCTGAACACCACACGATGGCGACTGTAACGCACACATAGGTACGCTCCTCTGAAATGATTGTCCCCTGCAATTATTATTATCCCTCAATCGAGTTTGCTAATCAGCTTGCTAACGTTAGCTTAAACAACGTTAGCCTAATCTAAAATGCTCAACTACGGCGTACCTTTCATGTGGCTCGTCAGCGCAGACTCTCCCATCGTTATGTTGCAAACTTTGCAGGAGGCTACTCGTGGGCTTGACCCTCGTCTTAGCCATGGCTTGTATTTGTCTTCTGCTAGCCAACGCTCGTTGAAACGGCAACCTCCTGGCACACAGTCATCTATCACTCTCATCAGAATGCCCAGGTCACACGTAACACAAACACTTGCAGGTCGCGCGCATAGCGCGGGAAGGCCGCAGCGGAGCTGTTTTATGTAGAAGCGAAGCAATTATTTTAATCTAAAAAGCGAATTATTCAGTCATACAGCAATTTATTGTACAAGTAAAGCATTTACATTTTCAAGCACTTTATCTCAATTTCAAGCACCATTCCCATAATTCAAGCACTTTCCCAACCTTGAAAACACCACGTCAAATTTCAAGCATTTTCAAGGATTTCAAGCACCCGTACGAACCCTGAGTATAGTTGGATAGCACTTCAGTTCACCGTTAGAGACTTAGTGTCTTACACAAGTGAAACTGTTGGTTTAAAAGGAGAAACGCTCTGAAAAATGATATGTGTTGGAGATTTACATGCAATTACTGATCCCTGCTTTGTACAGCGTTTGTACATTTTCTCACTGACAGGCAGCAGTAGTGTCTAGCAAAACTATTTCATAAAATCCTGTGTTTGCAGCAGTTTACAAGAACATAAGGTTTAATCTGCTTTTGACCCTTAAGGCGGTTATGAAAGGTTAATGCCTGGTTGTCATATTTCACAATTGCTGTGGAAGTTGTCACCTCTTTCTACTCCAGTCAAGTAAGATTAATACTGTATGGATTCTATATAATTCATGGCAAACATGTAATTACAGTAGAGCTTACCCATTTATTGGAAATCTGAGTCGAGGACGACCGTATGTTTAATTCAGGCCATGAGCAGGTCAAAAATGACATGTTGACCCAGTATGACTGACAGGAAACACAAGTCAAACTCAGTTTAGTGAGTCTCAAAAAGCTATTAAACAGCACACTGGGCCAATTCTGACAGCAGTAGATTGAATAATAAAGAAAAACCCACATAAAATATATTGCACTCAGCAGGAAGTCTGACAGAAAATGCCCTGGGTCTTCAAGGTGTGGGGGAAAAGATGTAACATAGGTCAGCAGCTGCCTTTACTTTAGCTTTACAGCGGTACATAACAGAACATTGTACATTGACTATTTCCCTGTGCACATTAGAGAGCTAGCGGATTCGGCTGAAAGGCTCCGCATGTCAAATCCTTGCTGAATGAGAATTTCCTTATAAAAGACATTTCTGAGTTCCTAGTGCCAAGCATTCCTGCAGTTTGCTTTACCAGGACAACTATTCAGAGTCAGACTCTTGGCCTATAGTGCCGCATGCGCCATAAAGGGCATTGACAGCTTCTCTTATATTTGAAAGAGGAACACACAGTTAATATCAAACCACCAGGCAATTTCTCATTCTGCTTTAGA